CACACCTATGGGGCAGTAGAGCAGAGCTAGGTAGGGTGAGGAGTTATATTTCTGCTCAGATAGACTAGGAGAGCTGATTGATCTAAAGCTGAAGGAACAGAGTTGCTCTTCAGATCAGAAAAGATGGATCTGAAGCCCAAGACTGAGAGATCTCCATCCAGAACTCAGAAAGACAAGAGTCTTGGATGGCTGGGCAGTTGTCCAGATGATTCCAGAAAACAGAAATTATTTATTTTTTTAGAAATTATTTTTAAGTCTTGATAGCTAATGCAGTTTGTTCTGCTTGATTTTGGACTGGCTCAGTGTTATCCCTCTTTTTGCTCCAATTCTTTCCATTTGCAATGGAAATGTCTGCCTTGTGTTAAGTTTACCATTGTACAGATACTTGTATTCTCTATTTCACAGATTCACAGTCAAAGAGGAATTTTGTCCCAGAAGAGACTATGGCTAAAATTGCACTTCTTTTATTTAGATGATTCAGGAGAGAAGATTTTTGGCTTACCATTGATTTAAGACTTTTGAAATGGTATGATAAGAGTGAATGTGTTTTATAAGAGGAGAAGGTATGAATTTGGGGTGGCCAAAGGGTAGAATGTTATAGATTGAGCTGTATCCCTCCAACAAGAGATGCTGTGAATCCTACTTTCATGTACAGCTGCAATCCCATTTAGGAATGGGTTTTCTTTTTAACATTAATGGGGCAGAATTGGTCATTATGAGTTTGAAGTTGACTCAGTGGCACCAAACATCAACAAAAACAATTGGTCAATCTCTTTTGACATTCAAAAGTAACTATTTCTATTATGAAGGGGAGACATTGGAGGGACAGAAGAGGTAATAAATTATGCAGATTAAACATGCAAGCAAACAAATATGAAGAGAGAGAGATGGCACACCACATGAGATTTCCAAGGAACCCAGAAACAAAAGGTAAAAGGAGACAAAGACACAGAGGAAAAAACCTTCCCGAAGGCCAGCATCTCCATGTTAGATTCTAGTCTCCTAAGTGTTCAAATTTCTGTTCATTTAAACCGCTTACTTACAGTATTTCTTCAGTATGACTATGACAATCATCTGCAAATGCCATTAAATAAAACACAACATAATGAAACAAAAGCCTAATCAAAACCAAACACACTGTCTTAAGTGAAGAGGATATAATTTAGCAGCTACTATTAGAATTTATAGTTCTAATATTAGTTACTAAATTGGTTTATAGTTTGAACATTAGTTATTAAATTAGTTCATAAGAATATTAGTTCTAAATTTATTTTGCCTTTCTCTTTTAGTATCTTTCAGTTACAAGCCTACTATTATTGAAGTATATCTTTTCAGTTATTAACTAAAAGAGTGATCTTAATTTCCATTGTTCTATTGATTAGTCATCCTTTCTTTCTGAGCATGTTAAGGGTCAATTAAAAGCCTAAAATATGTAAAGGGAGTGTGGGGGAGAGAAGTAGAGAACAAGAAAATAGACTCGTAATACTTTGGAGTTGGCTGGAGTATACATATTATTTTATGTTGGGCGTGAATAGTTTTAGAAACACTCAAAACCTAGGGAGGAAGTTTAAATTACAATATATGATTGAACTTTACATTAATTTTATAGCCACATTGGTTTTTCTGATAAAAAGGGACTACTGTTTTCCAAAGAGCTAATAAAGATTTTAGGCTACCAGGTAAAAGAAAGCATCAGGAACCACAGTCTTCTGCAAGTGGGCAGCCAACCAAACAGCCACACAGAGTAGCTACTAGGCCTTCTGACACTTGGAGAAGTCAGAATCAATCAAGGGGGCATCAACCAGGGGCAAACAATTTCCTCCTAACCAAAAAGAGCCGCATTTGTATGAAGTGATGTAGAAGGGAGATGACAGAAGACTTTTTCAACTTGTCATTTGATAGTGAAGAGGATTTCTTTTTCTATCTGACCATTAACCATCTTTGCAGATGCTGAAAATATTGTGATCGATAAGATCAACTCTAGTGAGCTTTTGCAAAATGCCTTTTCTCTGCACCAACGATTCAAACGGAAGTTGCTGTCCAGATTCAGAATCCAGATTCTATGAATTCTATATTTAAATGTGCTTAGAGTCTCACAGCATGGAGAGGAATGCTTTTGGAAGACCACTCTAGAAGAGTGTAGACTTGCTTGTAATGTATGCACTCTTGTAAGGGGTAAGACCAGGGCGAGAATTGAAGGTGTGGAGCCGTATGGCAGCCTACTCAGAGATGCTGTGATGTGGGTGAGCCAGAGCTCTGATTGTAGCAGAAGCAGTCAAACCACATTAGGGAGTAGATAGTTTTCCTCAATAAAGTTCAACGGGTCTCTAGCACTAAAGCCCGCACAGATGGCCCTCCACTTGGGAGGAGATCAATTTAAGGTGAAAGGTTTGGTGAGTCCCAGTCAACACTATCAGGGTCTGAGCTGAAGGAAAGGAGAAGGCAGTGTGTGAAACGAAGGGCATGTTTTTACTTAAAAAAATTCTTTTCTTATTGCAAAAGTTAGATGAAATTGGCGGGGGCGGGGGGGGGAGATGAAGAAACAAAATATACCTATGATCCTACCACTGAAAAGGCAACTACTCAGTTATTATTACAAAGCATTCTGGAATGATTTTTTAAATGTGATCTTATTTCCAAGCCATTGCTTTTAAATTTACAGTATCATTTTAAAGATCAGACATTACTTTATTACATTGATACATCCTAATTTAACCAAATATCTGTGAATAATAAAATGTTTCCAATTTTCATTGGCTATACAAGCTACATACTACTTTTAACAACTGTAAACAATCCTTGGATGAATTTCATTGTCATTAAGTCCTTTGTTCTCTCATTAGGACACATTCCTAGAGATGGAATTGGTGGGTGGTATGGGTCCAAGCTTATGCATATTTAAAGGCTTTTGATATACATTGCCAAATTGCCTTCCAGAAAGGGTGTACTCGTGTATAGCCAGAGAATCTATTTTGAGTGCAGCATAAAGCTTTGTCACTAGTTACTCCTGACTCAGCTGCTCATGGGCTTTCAGCCAAGTTCCTAGGGAGAAGAGTGGAAACTACACATACTGAATGCTCTGACGCAGTGACTTGGGAAGCCACAAGAGCATGGTGGAGGAGGTCCAGAGCCTGAGGAAGAGACATCTAGCACCTTAGCCCAGCAACAGGTGGAGGGAAGTCTGTGGCAGGGTCAGCATGTTCCGGAACTGAACAGAAGCTGCCCACTCTGCCAGCAGAGGCCACTTTGGGCCAGCAACTTGGAGTGCACATGGAAATTTTGAGATCTATAGGGCCAGCAGGGAGCACATATTTTGTCACCTGAGAGCTTGAGGACCTGCGAATAAACAGAGAGGGACAATGGGCTGAGGTTCCAGGGATTTCTCTGTTGAGATTCTGAGATCACTGTGATTATTGACTCACAGTTGTTAATTTTATCCCCTGGGGCTTCCAGAGCCTGGGAAAATACAGGTTATGCTTAGGGAATGAGAACCGAAGGGCTGACAGCCTGCGCAATTTTTATGCATTAATAGAAGATGCTATTTGATTTTGGTTCTTTGCCCAGCATAAGAGATCCCAGGGGGCACACTTAAAAGGAGGGCTAAGCTAATCTTAAATGAAAAAAAAGAAAACGTTTTATTTTATAAACATGAAAATTATGTGGCACTCAATAAAATGTGCAAGCCAGTAAACTTCTGCTATGCAATTGAGAAATAAAATGGGTAGCCTTCAGTATGGAATGAGGCTCAATGTCAAGAAGACAAAGATTCTCACCACTGGACCAATTGATAGCATCAGGATGGATGGCGAAGAGATTGAGATTGTTCACAGCTTCAGTTTGCTCGGCTCCACGGTCAACACTCTTGGCACCAGCAGCCAGGAAATAAAAAAATGTATTGCGATGGGAAAGTCTGCTGTTAGGGACCTCTCTAAAGTACTCAAGAGCAACGGGGTCTCTCTGGAGACTAAGGTGAGCCTGATACGGGCCATGGTCTTTGCAATCACTTGTTATGCATCAGAGAGTTGGACAATGACTAGGGAGGACAGAAGGAGAGTGGATGCCTCTGAGCTGTGGTGCTGGAGAAGAGTACTGAATGTACCATGGACTGTCAAGAAAACAAACAGATTCATCCTGGAGAGGGTTAAAGCAAGCTACTCCTTGGAGGCAAGGATTCTGGGGCTTCGTCTGACATACTTTGGGCATGTTGCAAGGAGGGACGGGTCCTTGGAGAGGGACATCATGCTTGGGAGGATGGAGGGATGGCGCAGGAGGGGAAGACCCTTTGTGAGGTGGATTGATTCAGTGACTGGGGTAATCAGGATGGGTTTGTCGGAGGCAATGCGATTGGCACAGGATAGAGCAGGGTTTAGGGCTGTTGTACATAGGGTCGCTATGAGTCATAAATGACTCGATGGCACATAACAACAACAATTCCTTGTGGGAGAAGAACTTGTCTTTTAGTTAACATTGGAAGACTGTGAAAGAATTTTCACCTAGATCTTTCTGGAATGTGAGCAGAGGTCTTGACCAAGTGGTAGATGGAGCCTACTGGCAATGTAACACCACTTCCACTGTTGTCAGAAAGGTGTGTTACTCCACCGAGCTTCAGTACATTGACAGAGCACCTGACTTCCCGTGGACCTTTGCTTATCAGACCCAAGATATATATCTCAGAAGACAGTCACATAATACACAACGATCCTGATATGAACTTAGTCTGAGAAATAAGTCACATATTGTAGATATGACTGATACTTCAGTAACACTTGGCTTAACTTCTTCTAGTGTAGACTTAGCTGCTGAAGTTGCTTCTCAAAGTAAATTTATGTTTTGAACATTTGCCCAAAGCAGTGAATGAATCTCCAAGAAAACAAACAAGCAATTCTTTCCCTAAGGCTGTTTCAGTCTATCTTCCCTTGGCTCTGTGGTGAATTAATTACTTCATAATCTCTTTCGTTATAAGCCTATCACACAAATGGCGATGGAAACACAGGCCTTACCGTCGATCACCGGCTTCGGCTGAGAACTTTTGAGGCGCAGTGAGGGCCGGAAGCGGGTTCGATCGTTGAAGCTCCAGCTCTTTTGCACTTTGGTGGGGCTGCCCTCGGCGGTGATGTCGGTGCTGGGGGACCTCCTGTCACCAACAGAAGCTTGTCGGCTCTTAATGCTCTGGCCTCGCGGGCTAGCCATGCGCACTCGCTCCTTAAAACTTAGCTTCTGACTGTGGAGAACAGAGGCATGATTATTCCATTTCAAGCAATTTTTCCCACTCCACTTGGGTAAATAATCTGACAAAACTCTATGTGGTTTTACATATTAATAAATAAAATGTTTTCAGCAATTTGGAGAATAGCAATGCATGTTTTCTCCTTATTGGAAATTTGCATTTTATTTAATCTCTGTGTTTACATTCATTCAGTGTTAATCTCACTCTCACATACACACTTCTTCACCGACACATCATCATAGGAAGGTCTAAGACACAGAACAGCGGTTTGTACACAACTGCACTGAAAAGAACCAAAAACTGCTTTGGCATTCACTTCAGAAAAAGTTGGATGGTTTGAGTTTTAATAACCTCTTTGCAGATTGAGAAAAAAAAATTCTTATTTGGGAGCATATCTCTTTGTAACTTCTAAGAATTTCTACAGGGAAATAAGGATAACCATCTACATTCTGCATGCATGTGTATTTCAGGCAAGTTTATGATATCCATAAATTCATGCAATCTCATAGCAGTTGGTAGCACTGCATACGTAATATCAAATGCACAACACTTAACATCACATTTCTTTTATGCTTGCACTCATTCAACACCAACAGGCAAGACAGAACAGCCCCAGCAAATAATGAACAAGATAACTGATTAACAGAATGAGATGTTATGTTCACTAATACAATTTCCTGCTACTAAACAGGTTATTGATTTGCTGTGGCAGCTACTGGAAAATTACATTTGTCCAGAAATTCAGTTCTTAGATGCCAGCTAAGATTGAATTCCTGGGGACTGACAAAGGAAGTATTAACCACGATGGTAGCAGCAAAATCCAAAGTGCCTCCCTACTTTGCTAACGAAGAGATGTGCTGTGATGCGATGTGGTAGGAAGTGAATGGTGGGGCCAGAGAGATCTGGGTTGGAACCTCAGCTTTCCTTGTCTTATCATCCAAGTCATATCATCTCTCTGGGTTTTGGAGCTCCTCGTCTTTAACATGGAAGCAAAAATAGAGAGCATAGCTAAGGGACTTTTGTGCGATGCAAATGAACAAATGAGTATGTGAAGTGCTTGCAATATCATGGTAGATACTTGATAAACTATGTTCCCTGGTGGAACAACATGGTGTCATGAAGTTGGACAAGTTGAAATACCAAGTGTCTTGTTACATATATTTACCACACAAAATTAAGAAAAAAAAAGCTTGATTCTCAGGGTAGGCCTCTGACATTGAAAACCACATTTGATGCATGAAAGGGAACTATGGCAATCACAACACCACCAACAAGGGAATGTTGTCGTGTGTTAAGATGCTTTGTGTACTTTTTTAATCTTTTTGCTCCTTTAGAAGCTCCTTGTGTTGTTCTTTAGAAGGTGACACTGCTCGCACTGTAAGAGACCCTGCCCTCTTCAGGTCTGAAGAAGTGATTATGCAATGGGTTTGAGGGGGAGCTGCTTGGAGTAGCCTCTTTGAGATGCAGACTGTTTCCTTAGATAAGGGTTATCTTGAGACCAAGTGGAGGCCTTGTCATTTCCACTTACCTCAATGTCCACTGTCCCAAACTGCAGCATGCCAACAGCAAATTTATTTTAGTGGATATGTGTTTTTGTAGCTAACAAGAAACAGTAACATTTATTTTTTTTCTCTCATGCCTAGTTGCTACACAAATGAGATTCTAAGAAGACACCATATTTTATGTGTATTTACATGAAAACAAATCAAATCATGAACTGTGGTGGTCACAGAGTCCTAGGAACAATAAACAAACTGAACATGCAATCGACAGCTCCTCTTCTAAAATGCACACACAGCTAAGTCTAGCACGGGCAGCCGAAGGCAACATGCAAAGAACAGGCTGGGCAGTTCTGTGATGGGGTCAGGTGGGTTCAAGAGTTCTTTTAAACAATTTTATCCCTCAAAGCATTTATCTGGACTCAACAAATGTGATTATATGATAGATAATGTTAAACAATAGCAACAATAATAATCATAAAACTATATATTCTTATTCTCAGGCTGAGTTTTCAATGTCATCCAAAAGCCTCAAGTTAAACAAATCCATTAAAGGGATAGTGTTGTTTTGTTTTTAATTAAAGACATTCCAAGTGTCTTTGTAGTTTCAGCACATCTGTTTGATGGTGATCTGCACCCTTACTTAGATGAGGTGATGCAGCTATCCTTATCCTATTCTCATCCCATTTTTCTGATCCTATAGCTTTTTTCTGGAAGTAATGCTGTTGCTGGTGAGTGTCACCAAGTCAACTACAACTCACAGCAACCATATATGAACAACAAATCTGAACCCTGATCTGCCATGTATCATTATCACAATTTACTACCAATTACTGTGGAAGGTCAATTTTAGGGAATAACAAATTATTTTCTCAAACCTTCAATGTATGTTTCTTTCTAATGCCAACTAAATGAAAAAGAAGCACAGATCATAATACCACTGAATGTGAACTTTATATTTTCCTTCTTAAAAATGTCAATTACTGAAAACTACAATATATTTTATATGAAAGTACTGGCATCAAGTCTCCCATGATTTATCTAAAATAACGAAAGTATGTTTCAAAATTATTCCTATGATAATATTTTAAAATATTATCCTTTTAAAAGACTTTTTTGATATTATATCTAATAACTAATAGAAGTGGGAGTAATACTATTCTCGGAATCCCAGTAGCATTTAAACATTTAAAGGTGATACAATTAGTTTAGTTATCATCTGCTCTTTTGCCCTTGTAGACTATAAACATTTGGCAATGCTAAAATAAAACAAAAATTCTCAAGAATATTTTAAAACAAACTCAACATCTTACAGTTTTTTTTTTAAATAACATTTTGCATTCTTTCTTGACTATTGCGTAGAATTGAAGATCCTAATGCAGAACTTTTAAACTAGGCAACACTTTTTCCCCCCAAAGGCAAGGATCTGCTCTTGTGCTCTCTTACAAAAAGCTCCTTTTTTACTAGTTTTCGACTTCATTTCCCCTTTGGAAATCAACAGAGCATCTTGATTAGATGGCCATTAAACTGATTAGGCAGCTATTATTGAAAACACACATTGATTAAAAATATAGACTTTCCACTGGTACATTAGTTTTCATTATTCTGCTTTCCCCTGGCATCTTATAAACATGAATTTTCAGGGAGATTTATGCAACAGTGTTTTTAGGGAGAAAGTCAAGAATTTCCCCCGGGAGACCCACAAGGAAGTATCTCTTTGGAGAAAGCAAGTAAAAAAGGTTTGCTAAGGTCATTGATGGGGAACACCTTTCTTTCTTTCTTTTTTTTTTTTGTTTGTTTGTTTGTTTTAAATTTCTGTCAGTGTACCGTCAAATCAGATCTGACTGGTACAGGAGGAGATTGTCCCTCCTTCCCCGGCAGAGCATCTGGTGGATTCGAACCGTGCGCCTCTGGGATTGCAGTGCAGCTTCTTGCCACTAGGCCACCAGAGCTCCCCTGGGGAACACCTTTCTGAGCATGCAAGCCTACATTTCCAGAAGAGGAACATACTTAGGGGAGTCTGTTCAACTGTTCTGCAAAGAAATTCTTTCCTCTCTCCGAACCAGATGTGCACGTTACTCAAATGGCCCAGCATGCAGTCTATTACTAGGTGTTTCCTGCCAGGGAACTTTGTGGCATCATCATAACCCCGCAGTAATCCTCTTGGATTTAGAATGTTGCAGATATTGTTGTATTTAATTAGGGTTTAGCCCTTCATAGGATAAGCAGTCTACAAATTCTCGCCTCAGGCAATATGGCAAGTGAGCCGTAACCATTCATTGCGTGCAGCAGCTCAGCAGTTGTCCGGCCACAAGGGGGCACCAAGGGGCTGACTGCCAGCACGTCGCTAGTCTCTGCCTATTGCCCCAGTGGTAGAGTATCAAGGCAGGCAACAGGCAAGAGGGGAAATTACAAGCGGGTTGACACCTCATTCAGAGAAGTCCCTAGGAAGAGTGAGTCTCTGGACAGCGCTCAGGTGAATGTGGCGCTGTAACCTGGTCATGCACCTGAAGTTAGTTGGCATTCTCAAATCTCATGTCAATAGCCGGATGCTGGGTACCTCTGCTTCCGTGAAGTGTACACTCTGAAGAACTTCTGCTTATTACTACAGAACTTACTAGGAGCGAGGGAGACAGAGCAGCACATTACTAAGCATTTCACCACCAGGAAAGTGCTTAAGTGCTTAGGGATTTTTATTTCTTCCCCCCACCCCCCAAACATAAAGCTATCTGTCTCTAATATTTTATATATATATATATATATATATATATATATATATATATATATATACACACACACACACAAACTATGGTAGCAGCAAACACGAATTCTGCAATTCAGTTGTGCTGATTGAGATATACGAACTTAGTGGTTAGCTTAAACTAATTAGAGTTGAGTTTGCATTACAAGTGATAATAGTCTGTGTCAGCCTCTCTTTCATGGGAAAATATCTACCGAGATACTTTAGAAGATAGCAATTCCTAAATTTCAATTTACTATAATGATCGGGAAGAAAGTATTTCAGAACATTCTAAGTATTACTAAAAATCAACATAGTAGATAGATTGTTTTGAAAAGAAAAAAAAGTTTGTGATTTGTATGAAATACCTGCCTTTAAAATAGAAATTAGAAAACTCTAACTCATAGCCAGCAAGCTGGAACTGGCTCACAGCTGAACCTCCAGTGGGCTTTCTGAGGTTATAAATCACACAGGAGGAGACTGCCAGTCTATTTCCCGGGGAACTTCTGGTGGATCTGAACCACAGTTAAGTTACGCTCTGTGGACTATGTGTGCCACAGAGCTTCTCATAGCTGGTATGTTGTTGTTACTGTGTGCTGTTGAATTAGAACCAACAGGCAGTAAATCATATGGGAAAATTACCCATCTTTCTTTTGAGGAGTACCTGATGGATTTGAACTGGTTACCTTTGGGTTGGGGGTGCAATTTCTTACCTATAGTTGGTATAGAGAGCCAATTATCAGATAGGCTACATATTAAAATACCAAATAAGACCATTATTATACAAATAAATAACTAGTAAAATTTATATGAGTATCGAAGGGAAGGAGGAGGGGAGCAGAGGGGTAGGGATGGGTGAGAGTGATAATCATGGGGTCACACGGTTTGATAGGTAGAGGGGAGGTGGGGGGATCTGGTATGAGGGGCAACGTACACAAACTTTGTAGATAAATCAACATAAAAAAAGTATTGCAAGAAAGAATAATTAAAACAAACAAAAAGGGTTGAAGAATTCTTAGTTACTAGTTTGTGAAAAAGCAATGCAAAACAAACTAAAAAAACCCCTGTGAAACTAAGTTTCTTACTTTGAGTCCTATGACAGACTTTGAAACATCTAAACACATTTCTTCTACAATACATGTGAACAGAGGCGGGATTATCTTGAAAGGATTGGTTTTAAAGCAATCTGTCATTTTGTCAATAAGTATACAAGTTGACTACGCTAAAAAAATGTCTACTCTTAACTGAGTTTAGTTTAACAACACATGCAGCATTCTTTGTGCACAGAAGAAAGAAAACATAAATACTGGAAAATAAACGCAGAAACAGAATCAGAAGGACACACAACATTTCCACCAGTGTTCTAAAATTTTCTCCCAAGAGCCACGCACTTCATCAGGCCAACCAAGAAAGAGTGGTCCAGGTCAAGCATTATAATGCAATGAAAATATCTTTTGTGCTTTAATGACATGCACCTTCATAATAGTCTAAGAGGTATTTATTAATGCAATTTTAGAGAATCTACTAGAATGCCTAAAAGAGTTATATTAATGCTTTAGAAACTGTGGTTAAGTCAGCTTAACACACAAGGGAAGCATTTAGGCAACCACTGTTGATTAAAATGACATGGCAATAAGAGGTAGTGTATTTTCAGTTCACAGTAAATTTTATACAGTATCGTTATTATTACTTATAATCTCTAAACTCCATACACTAAAAACTATTCATATAGAAATTATAATCTTACAGGTAATAAGAAGTTAATTTTTTAAAAAGAAATAAAATAACTGAGAAAGAGTTGAGGACACAGGATCTAAATATGAGGTCACTGGATTAATATGGAAAGATGAGTTTATAGGAACATTCTGTTCCATGCAAATGGCAATTTATACACCTAACGAAAGGGGGGAAAACCCCCAAACAAAATCCCTTTCAATTTAAGAATAAATTGGAAATAAATTGGGAGAATTAATTATAAGTCTAATTAATAAATATCTTCACCACCACTTAGTATGAGATTAGAATGGTTTTAGTGGTAATACAGAGAAAAACAATTGAGGAAGCAAATGACACCAAGGAAGTTGGATTTATGGTATAGGTAAAAGGAACATTGAGCAGGCTCAGTTGAGACTAACAGTGATTTGTACCCAAGCTGTCTCCAAGAGAGTTAAAGAAACATTTTCACTAGGATTCAGCTGAGCTACATTAATAAACAATTTCTGTGAGTTTTTGAAGAACATTTTGTTTCTGTTACAACCACTGTAAAAACAGGTTGGAATCAGAAGTCTTTTTTTTATCCAAGGTCTGTAAATTTGTGTGTGTGTGTGTGTGTGTGTGTGTGTTTTAAGCATACCCTAACCTCAGGGTTGCTGTGAGTTGTGCTCTACTCGAAGACAATCAACAACAACCACCTCAATGCAAGAAAACAGAGCATTCATAACTGAAGGGGTGCAACAACATCTCCCAATCCATTCTGCAGAGAGGAACAGTTAAGTACATCCCAGTTTACAGAGAGTGCGCCTGTGTCAGAGAGATTTATTTGTTGGCAAAATGAACTAAGCTATGATAGGGTTGTTCCCAGTTCTTAACATGATGAAAAGCAAGAGGAAGTACTTAGGGTATTGCAGACTCTGAGATATCTAAAGAGTAACTTTGGTGGCTCCTCCTTGGACTGAAACTTGTTTATTCTGTTTATCTGAATCATTATCAATAATTCAATGGCGGTAAATGACTCTGTACTTAAGTGGTGCCCAATTCCTAGTGAGCTAAGAATCAATCAATAATATTCTAGATCCAGATTTGTTTTTTTGTTCTCCACAAGAGAGTTCTCCTGACAAATAAATCTTCTTTGCATATTTATTTAGGTAAAGACAAATTTATTATTTCCTAACTTGCTATCATTGCCATTATAATTACCACAGCCTTTCTGAATTCATTATACAGTGTTAAAAATTCTAACACATATGGAATCGAAGGTAAAAAAAGCTAAGGTGCTATTAAAATAGAAACCAGCTAATTTCCTTAAGCTTGAGTAATTTTTAATTTTTTCCTCTTTTAATGTTTATTCCATTTTAAAATTTCTGTTGCTATTTGAGCTTTGTATTGTAAACTATGTGAAATCAGAGGCATTTCATTATTCTATCAAAATGACTTACTACTAAAAAGAAAAAAAATGTCTTACTCAATGTACTGAGCACATTCTCTGTCATAATTTTATGTAGGGTAACTTGAAAACTGAGGGAATAAAAGATTTAAGTGTATGAAGCATTATTAAGTAAAGTATGAATATTCCACGTGGTTTCTGCCAAATGTTTAATGACAATAGACAAGTCAAGAAATCTATTTGATTCTTCAAATCACCTGTGTAGTTCAGTGGTTCTGGAATATTAGACCCAACATGCAAAGGATCTTTGACAATCAGTCATGAATGTCAACATTTTACATATGCGTGAATATTATGGCATTTACAAAATTTTGCTGTAGTCTTTTTTTGAACGGTGGCAGATGATAAGAAGACTAGTTTTTGGACTGGGGAGCAGAAGACACACAATTACATGCTAATTTTGTCTTTGTTTCCTGCCTTGCCAACATTTGGGGGAGGGGTGGAATATTGAGTTGATCTGGGGTGATTTAGCAGAGATTTTGCTTATTCAAACACCTACAAACTCCCCCTTCAGGTATGGACAACATTGTTCTGGAGTGGAACTAAGGCAGATGACTCTGTCCTCAGGCAGTGATGAAGTTTATGCCTGAGGTAGCCTCTGTCTTCAGAATCAGGGTACAAATAACTGCTGGAGATAATCCAGAAACAGATAACTCCTGAGACAAAGATGCCTTCCAAGTATTAGCAAAGAGACAAAACATAGCTAATAATAGCTATTACTTATTTTGTGGTAAATTTTTTTTAAAAAATGTTATCACAAAAAAGGATGTTAGGATCTGAAGGGAGTCTAAAAAATGAGAATCAAAGGATCAGAATTGATTAACCTGCCTATTTTAGTACTGATACTGAAGGATAACAAAATATCATTAGCCTCAAATAGTGTACACTCAGGGTTAAAACAACAGAAATGAATAGAAGAGAACAAACATTAAAAGATCAAAAGTAAAATCATCACAAAAATCCATGACCAGAAATGGTAATGGTTCGAATCCACCAGAGGAGAAGTCTCTTCCTGTTAAAGCCTTACAGTATCAGAAACCCAGTGGAGGGTGGTTGCTAGGAGTTCATGTCAGCAGGGATTATTATTTTTCTTCTTAATACACACATAGAAAGTAAGTCTCATAATTAGGATATCTCTTTTCTTAAATATCTCTGACTTGGAGAAGAGAAACTCTTCAGGCCACTAAAACTTTCTGGAAATATCAACCATGAGTATTGAATGCCCTCTGCTCTAACTCTATGTCTTCTAAATAAGGGAAGAGTCTTTAATACAAGTCCTTGTGTATGTAGGCTTACCCATCCAGGAGAAGGGTTTGATGTTTGCCTTATCTACTCTCTTTCTCATCAGCATGAATACTGAAATAGGCAGGATTCATTTTAGTTTGTGAATTTTTAAAAGTGTTATCAATATTAAATAGAAGTGGATTGCCCAATGGCTCACTACCCCAAGTGAATGTTCACAATAGGTTTCAACACTGTATAAAGAAATATATTATCATTAATGCCATTGTTGAAATAGTGCAAAACTAAGGGAACAAGTCTTGGACCTGCTCGGGGGGTCTTGGACCTGCTCAGGGGCTCGTTCACTCACCTAGGGGCTGAGGGACCCTCATTTAGGGCTTGACTCTGGGCAGGGGAATTTTTTTTTTCAGACCTTTATTTTTTTTTTAATTGAAGCAAGTGATAATAGTTATAAAACCCCCTACGTGTCCCTTCACCCCTTTTGGGGACCTGCAGTTCTGTCGCTGCCACTCCTCCCACCCTCAGTGCTGGTACGTACGCTCCTGGAACTTTGCTTCCTGACCCTCCTTGACACTAACACAAATCAGTATTTTCTCTTTCACCTCTTACTCCCTCTAGGCCCGACTCTGCGATTTTGCCTGATTAAGCACTGTCCTCTAAGGCATTTTAAATGAAGTTTCTGGGAAGGAGGTTCTTTCTTTGAACGAGATCACCCAGTGAACCTCAATGGGCTGGAGATGGTGCAGCTATTATGCTCCTCTCCTAACCATTGTGTGTTTCTTGCCAGTGAAATAATTTTTTTCATCCCAGAAGGGCTTGGATGAGGGCTATCATGTCTTATATTGCTTCCATAGGCTAAAACATCCAGAGCAATTGCTTTATTTTGTCCCCTAGCCTACTAAGTTCCACCACTTGGATAAGACTTCTGGGAACAGAGCAGCAAGGAACAACCAAAGACAATGAATAATTACCTTCTCTCCTATCATGCTTCATACTCTGGAGATTTTAAAAAGCTGTGAGTAAGGTTGGGGAAGATACTTTTGCACTTAAGTTAAAAAACATAAAAATCAATAAAACAGTAACCTTTGCAGGCAATCTTGTGAAAGGTCACGTTTAATCATCTTGTATTTGTTGATCGATTTTACTCACATGAGGCACATTTAAAACATCTGTTAGGAATCAGGTTTATAAACAATTGTGAAGCAGAAGAGAAATCACAAACCTGCTCGATGCTTCCCCTTGTTCCTTCCTTCAGGTGCAGGCAGACAGAAGAGAAATGACGGTAAACGGATGAATCAGTTTACAGCAATTGACAATGCCCAAGTTGGAAACGGAGATGTCAGGTAGCTTTACTATCCACTTTACGTAAAAGCCATAAAAGCAACATTCTTTGTAAAAAACTACACTTGACTTTCTTAATATATTCTTTGTGGCACCAAATTGAAATAGTATAACATTTATTTCTAAAACCAGTATGGTGCACAAGTAGTGCAAATGCATAGAATTTCCATTAGCTAACATTATCTGTGGTTAGGAACAGTGTTTCTGCTCCAACAGGCATTAGTGCAAACACTTGGCATGATGCAGGTTACACTGAAGCTGTTGTTTCTGTCTGTTCCTTAGGTGATCTGTTTCATGTGTGACTGTTACCTTGTGCCTCTATCACTTGTTGAGGCTGATCCCCTCCCCACCATTGTATAAAATATGAATGGCACATAGAAAGTGGATTAGAACTCCTACAGCACACTGTTGAGTGACATTTTTTTTAATGACTCAGCTCTAGGCAGCATGGAATAGAGGGCACCTCTGAGATTCTACCCGGCAAAGGAGCTGTGTATCCTTGGACATGATTTCTTTGTGATTCTTGGTTTTCTTGGGAATAAATGTAAGGCATTGGACCAGATAATTTTTAATTTCATAAGGTGACATTCAGTATCCTTGGTGTCTAAAAGTCCCCCAGAGCTTCACAAAATATCTGACTCATTTCCTAAAATAACACATTCACCTGCGTTTCACCCTTTGCACAGCTTCTACTCCTTTTGATAAAAAAATCAAGGAAAAAAATCCCCACACTTTTCATCTATACATCTTTGCTTTTAAAATCAAACTCTGAAATAACAACTGCTAAGACCTCCAAAATGTATGCAAGAGACAAAGTGGATGAAACTGCTGGGCACTGGGCCTGGAAGCTTTAAGTGGATATGTTCCTCTTATTCCTTTCTCTTGCTTCTTTCACTCATGAAACAATTTTCCTCAGACCTCTTTTCCATCCCATGCCCCAGGATGAGGTTGTGGGTGTCAAGGCATCCCACTCTGTCTCTAATATTGTGGGTAAAAGGAGCATGATGTTGGTACATTTTGATGATGATGATGATGACGTGATCTCTTACTTGTCAATCTATTTACAATTACAGCTCTGAGGGTACCTAAATTCCTTCCTTATTTTTATTTTTCTCCTTAGCACTTATTATTTTACTTATTATTATATTTTAAAAATGGTCCACTCCAAGTACCCCTTGAATATCTGTTCTATGAGGGCTTAGGTTTTACCCCACTGCGTCTTCCCACTGCTGCATTTCTAGAGTCATGAACAGTGCCCGGCACACGGCAGTTTCTCAGTCAGTACTTGTTGAAGGGGTGCATTAATGAATGAATAATTTTTCTCTCCAGAAGTTATTAAGTCACAAATATAAAGGAAAATGCAACTGTACTGAAAAAAGTTTTTGCCTGTTTCTAATGGCAACATTCTGCACTCAGTAGACAAATATTTCTAAACGTAAAAAATATCCCTTGGAAAGTAAACATTTTAATCCAGAAGTAATCAAAGAAAAACACACATTTTAAAAGTGGAAGAAAGACACTATCGTAGAGTGATTATGAAGATGAGTTTGCAGGATAGAGAGACCTGAGTTCAAATCCTAGTTCTGTGACTCAAGGAGCCACAACTTCTTGATTGGAAACACTGAAATAAAACACCACGAACTGATAGTAGTAAGTGGATTGACTGAAAAAAAAATCCCTTGGCCACTGCAAATTATTCTCCTCACAAACAGAGACTTGATAAATCAAGTTTGCTTTCTAAAGCAAAAGTTCTGAACTTGGCTTTAGGGAGTCTATGAATATATTAAAATTCTATGCAAAGTTTTGATATTTTTTGTGTGTGTGTGCATTGAATATTTTTTTGCCTTGGAAATGAGTCTATAATTTCCATTACATTCTCAATGGTTTAACAAATAACAGTAGCAACAACAACAGAATAACTGCCATTTTTTAAAAATAATAACTGCCATTTAAGACAATTAAGTATACTAAAGGGAGAGATGTTAGGACAATGAGGATCTCATGATCTTTGTCAATGACTGATGTATTATTCCAGACAAATAATTTACTCAGTAAATGGTGCTAAAAATCAGAGGTTATAGGAGGTGCAGAGAAAGAATGGGGGAGGGAGAGTGTCACAGTGTATCAGGATGTACACAGGTTATTACCGAAATCCTTCTAATTCTCTTCCCCTACTTCAGATTGAAAATATCAAAGGAAAAGAGAAATTATATGAGTGAAGTACGGTTTATGCACAGGGAGAATCTGACTCATTCTTCAAGTAGTTTTTCCAGGCTTCAGAATGATGTTTAATTAAAAAAGAAAAACAGCTTTAAGTGGGAAGCCACATAATCGACCATTCTCTATTGTCACTTGAGAACCCTCTTTTGAATTTCCTACAAATCTACGCCCTTTCCATTTATCTTGCCACCTTCATGAAGAAAAGAAAAACAATTTCCAGATAATTCCCATTTTTGACTCATATACTCAAGGAACAGGTGACATAACAGTTATCTTCATTTAAAAAAAAGAACAACTTTGAAAGGTTCTCATACTCATAGGAAATTTTTAGATAGCACTGTGAAGAGTGAGGATTTCAGTACACTTAATTGTGCTAACATGGAAACTGTATAGATTCAGAGGCAGTTGTTTCAAATGAATAAAGGGATACTGTGTGCAGAAGAGGTATGCATTTAAGTTGTATACTCTTAATTCAATCTGCATGTTGAGCAAGTAAGCTGAGAAACTGAACTATATGGGAAAAATCAGTATCAAAATCAGAGACATCAACAACCTGCAATATGCAGGTGGCACAACTTGATTTGTACAAACTGAAGAGGATTTGAAACAATTATGAATGAAAAGACTATAACCTTCAGTATGACTGCACCTCAACATAAAAAAACCCAACTCAACCAATAATCAATATTGTGACAAATGGGAAAAAAGTGTGACCTTGTAAAGGATTTTATTTTGCTTTGATCCATAATCAATGCCCATAGAGGTATCACATCGAGTAAATATGCTATAAAAGGCTACTTCACAGTGTTAAAAAGCAAAGATATCACTTTGAGGGCTGGGATGTGCCTGGCACAGAACACAGTATTTTCAACCACACCATATATATGCCAAAGCTGGACAATGAATAAAGAAGACCAAAGAAGAATTGATGCCTTTGATGTATGCTGCTGATGAAGAATAACCATAAACCGTCAGAATAATAACGAACAAATTTATCTTGGAAATATAAAGCCAAATGTTTCTTAGAGAGGAGGGTGGTAAGACTTTATTTCACATAATTAGGAGGGACCACCTCCTGGAGAGGGACATTATTCATGGTAAAGAACAGAGTCAGTGAAAAATAGGAAGATCTTTAATGAAATGAATTGATAGAGTGAATATAACAATGGTTCAAACACAGAAAAGATATTGAAAGCAATGTAGAACTGGACAATGTTCCATTCTGTTGTATGTAGTTTGGCATAAGTCAAAGTGAACTTAAGACACTTAACAACAACAGCATAACAAAACTCAGTGGGATACATTCATACAATGGAATACTATGCAGCACACAGGCGCAATGATTTTTTTAAATTACTACTTAACTTGGGAGGGACTGGAGAGTATTTTTCTGAGTGAAATAACTCAGTCCCACAAGGACAAATACTGTATAAAACTATTATTGTGGAATGAGTATAAGGATCCAAGAGGCGGTTGGTGGAAGCAGAGGGGTGAGGATGGGCAGAGGGTGTGTGTATTAATCATAGGGTTGTACAATTTGATGAGGGTATGTGTGAAAAACAATGTATTCAAACTTTGTAAATAAATCATTATCAAATACCTCCCCCCCAATAACTCAGTGGGAGAAACGAAACTAAAATTTCAGATCTAAATGTAAAAAAGTTCTCATCAACACCTTCACTCAGCCAGCACCTGTACTTCTATATTTGCTAAGGCTCCACCCAGCTGTAAAATCCTGAGTGTGGGTGTGGGGTGTCTGTGCACATCTCTGCTCCAGGTGTTGGTACAGAATAGATATACAAACAATACAGAAACTAATCTGTAGGGGACACAGCCTATCAGAATTTAGAATAATCTTGCCAAGCCTTGTGCCTCACTTTGTAGATGAAAAAAATATGTCCAGGGCAGGGCAGGAAAGCAGTGCAATAAATAACGAATCTATTTTTATTAACTAGTAAATAGAGTAAGAAAAAGAATAATTAAAACACTCATTGTCACTGAGTCAACACTGACTCATTGTTGACCCTTCAGCAGGTTGTCCAGAGGCTGCAAATTGCACAGAAGGAGATCACCCATCTATTCCCTGAGTAGCCACTGGCAGATTAAAATCTCCAAAGGGCTAGCAGGACAATTCCCAACAGACTACACCACAGAGCCCCTTAATAAAGAGAAGACCTCCATCACTACCTAACTTGGGAGGGACTGGAGAGTTATGCTAAGTGAACTAACCCGGTTCCATAAGGACAAATACTGTATAAGCCCATTATTGTAGAAATAGATAACTAATAGAGCATGTATGAGGATCTAAGCGGGGGAAGAGGAGAAGAAGGGTTGAGATGGGCAGTGGGGGTAATCATGGGGTCACATGATTTTGTGGGTGGGGGAAGTGGGTTGGGGAGGTGGGGGATCTGGTGTGAGGGGCAATATATATAAACTGTAAGTAAACCAGTGTAAAAATAAAAAAGTATTGCAAGAAATAAAAAAGGCCTCCCTTTATTTATGATAAATATAAAAATTTGAAATTTATTTTCAAAATTTAATCTTATTAGTCCTATCTGCTCATTTTAAACTCTAATTGTATCAAGGCACCATTTCTTCTTATTGATAACAGGTGCATTTAGAAATGAAATCTGCTGTGTCCTCTCTCCTTTAAGACCCCAATTCCAGAGGACAAGTCACAGAGGTTCCCCAGCCAGTTTCTCTTTCTCATCAGTTAAAAAGAAAGGAGAATTTTTAGGGTAGGTATATTGAGCTTCGTGAACCTCTAGGATTTAAGTTTTGTTAACTGCAGGCATGCTAAAGTCTGAAGTCAAATAAACAATCCGATAATTTTGGAACAATCAGAGGAACTATTTCAGTCAGGCTAGATGACTCATACAAAGTTTTAACCTTGACTTGTTTTGGTTGTTTCAACTGAGGGCGTCTTTAATTAGATGGTGATTATAACATAACATGTATGCGTTCTGCTATTTGAACTGCCATACCAGATTCTACGACATAGAAATTTTATAAAAAAATGTAAGATTATTGTGGTAATTTTCAGAATTTTTCCACAATTTTTCTGGATCCCACTCCTTCTAGGCACATTGTAAGATTCCATTTCCTTATCTATTTTGAGTTTAAATATGGCTATCTGATTTGCTTTGGTCAATGAATGATGAAAGAAAGTAATATCATCCATTATTTTAAATTTTTGAATAGTAATTTCACATTATAATGGCTCATTATAAATGGTAACGATAGTAAGTCTGATTCATCTCTTCTTTTGCTATTGATATTAGCTTAATCTGTAAGTGAAAGCCCAAGGGGCATTCTGCAAGGGGTTCCAAGTGAGAAATGCCTTTGAAAGTTTAATACATGCAAAGATATACTGCTTTTAAAGTACTCAATTCATAGGATTGTGTGACAGGTAGATGACACATAATCATTATTTTTCAAGATCAATACTGCTTACCTTTAGAATTCTGTTGGGCTTTAAGAGATGAGATGTTAGAAATAAACATGAAGTAGCAAAAAGACATCTCTATGAAAGTTTAGAATGTTTTATTAGTCTTTAAACTTAGTTTGTAAATGATAGGAATGATAGTGAATCCACTTAATTTTGTATCTGAGTTACTATTTAACTTAGTTAACTACTTAAATTCCTAAAAGAACAACAGAAAATATAACAAGTGAAAAAGAACCTGTATTATCATTATTATGATGATGATGCTAATGCCTATGGCTCATTTTATAAACGTGAGAGATTCTACCATAGCACAAGCTGTCACACTGTACCTACTTGGTAGGGCTGCAGGTGTGCAAGGCCTTCAAGTGTGGTTTCCAGGTGGCAATGGAAACAGATTTCTCATCAGCTGCGTAACTACGCCAAACGCACTGCACATCACATACAAGGGAACATAGAAAAGAAAAACAGAAAAAAAGAGCAGAAGATAGGTTAAAAATAAAGATTATTCTGTTAAGGCACATTAAGTATCTTTTTTATGGGTATACTTGACCCTAATACATACTTGAAGGATGACCTTTGTTGTTGTTATATACCATAGAGTCAGAAGTGACTCATAGCGGACCTGCTAGTTGGTTTTCAGAGGCAGTAAATCGCATAGAAGATTGCCCATATTTCTCCCACAGGGCAGCTGGTAGATTTGAACCATGTGCCTCTGGACTGGCAGCACAATTCTTGACTACTCAGCCATTAGAGCCTTTAGCTGGCTGTTAAATATTTTTAATCAAAGTGAATGAAATGCTTTTTAAAAAGCTCACAAAATGTGTAGCAAAAAGTAATTCATTAACTGGGTAGAGGAATATAGATTATTATCTGAAACAAAAGAAAATGGTGATTGATTGGTTTCGTAAATAGTGATGTTCAAGGTGACAGAGAAGCTGTCCAAGCATAACCATGTGTTTCAGAACCCAACCACATGTCTTTTTTAAATGTTTGATGAGCTAAAGGCAAAAATGACTGCAAATCCAGAATCTAACTAGTAAACTAAGTAGTCAACTAATGAATGTCAGTGTATGTTAGATGTTTAAGTAGTGAAATTCCCTAACGTTGAACTATGCATTACTTCTAATACTAACAATGAAGATAAATAATGATTACTAAGCATGAGAAAATGTACCTTCTAAGAAATATAAACGGAAAACACTTCAAGATTTATGGTAAAGGCCTAAGAATGTTTATAGTTCTTTGAAGTAAAATATAAGCTTTAATTAATTTAATTCATGTCATTGTCATTCTCATCTGATCTTGACAATCAAGGAGGAGATGGAGACGTCTTTTTTATTTTTAAATTAATTTTTTAGGAGTTCTGATGGTGTATACTTTAATTGGTTGCACAGCTAACAATAGCCTGAGTATCTCCAGCAGTTCAAGTTTATCTTTATATTTTTAAGGTAGAAAGATGGGTTGTTATGATTTAAAGCTTCAGAATCCCACTCTCAGTCACTCTCAGCCAAAATCAACTTAATGGCAGAGGTTGAGTTTTTATTTTTCTAGGAATCAAGTAACATTTTAAAAATAACTATTTGCAGTTTTTAAAATAAATTGCTATTACTATCTATCTATCTATCTATCTATCTATCTATCTATCCACACATGTATAAAAAATAAAATTTGCCCCTCAGTAACTTTGAAGATTACAATTCAGTGACAATATCTATATATAGTCCATCACCAATATCTAAACCACACCAGTATCTATGTGCAAAACTTTTCATCACCCTAAGCAGAAACTCTATCTACTTATGAATAATTCCTCATTACACTTGACTCCACTTTCTGTTTCTATCAATTTATTTATTCAAGGGAGCTCTGGCAGCCTAGTGGTAAGGAGCTATGGTACCATTCCAAAGGCACATAGCTCAAACCCACCAGCTTCTCTGTGGGAAAAAGATGGCCAAGTTCCTTTTTGTGAAATTTATTGCCTCTGAAAACCTACTGGAAGGCCAGCTATAAACTGGTTCAAAGTTGACAGTACATAAGAACAACAACAGCAAGGAAGTTCTGGTGATGTAGAGAGTTGTGTTGCTAATCTGAAGACTATGCAACTCTAGTGGTTCAAATTCCCCAGCAGTTCCAAAAAGCAAGGTGGGCAATTGCCTCCAGTGCAACTTATAGCCTAGAAACCTAATGGAAGGTGAGTTAAAGTTCATTCTGACTTGATATATGCTCTTTTCTGTATGTACATTAAGCTACAAGAAAATGTACAGAATGAGACAAAAACTAGAAAAATATATCCCTGTATCTAAGAAGTTTCATTATTGTTATTATTATTATTATTTGTTGTTGTTTTTATGTACCGTCGAGTCACCTGTGACTCATAGTGACCATGTGTACAACAGCCCTAAACTCTGTCCTATCCTGTGCCAATCTCACCATCTCCGACAGCCCCCCCCCCATTACCCCAGTCACTGAATCAATCCATCTTATAGTGGGTCTTCCTCTCCTGCACTGTCCCTCCACCCTCCCAAGCATGATGTCCCTCTCCAAGGACTGGTCCCTCCTGACAACATGGCCAAAGTATGCCAGATGAAGCTTCAGAATCCTTGCCTCCGAGGGGAAGCCTGGCTTCACCCTCTCCGGGACAATCTTGTTAGTTTTCTTAGCAGTCCATGGTATATTCAATACTCTTCTCCAACACCACAGCTCAAAGGGATCAATTCTCCTTCTATCATCCCAAGTCATTGTCCAGCTCTCTGATGCATAGCAAGTGATTACAAAGACCATGGCCTGTATCAGGTGCATTATTATTATTATTCATTTTATTTACCCCATTTACGTTGTGTTTCTTATGATCATTCCCATACATTGTGTCTTAGAAAATTAATCACCTTTCATTAAAATTAATAAATTTTAAAAAATTAAAAAAGAAAATGAATCACCATTGATCTATGCCCACTATTACTCCATCTTTTCATATCCTGAATTAATCTTTCCTAATTCCTCCACCCTGTCACTCTACCTACCAAACTCTGCAAGCCTATAATTTCCACTCTTCCCTCTAGCCCTGCTGAGCCCTACTCTTACAGTATTCATACACACTCGATTAGCTATCCTTCTATTTTTACAATGGTGGTCTTTGCAGTATTTGTCATTATGAGCTTGAGTTAGTTTTCTCAGTTTATAATGTTCTCTAGCCTTTCCCATGTTATATAGTATTTTTTGAAATTGTTGCTTCTAAGGGCTGCATTATATTCCATTATGTGAATATACCACACCTTCTCAATCTAGTCCTCCACAATAGTTCATAGGCATCAATTATTCTTTTGTCATTCTTATTCATTGTTAAGTTCTTAGAAGCATAGCAAGTGAATGAAAATACCATGGCCTCAATCAATTGTACCATAGCACATCACTGCTACTCAAAAATTTGGAGAGGTTCCTGACTGCAGACTTTCCCATTACTATCCTTTTGATCTTCTGACTGCTAGTATGAAGTGGTACTACATTGTAGTACTATATTGTGGATCTAACCAAGATGAAATTATTGACAGTTTCAATATTTTAATATTATCATAATGTTGCCTATAGGTCCAGTGGTGAGAATTTTCATTTTCTTGACACTGAGATGCAATTTATATTGAGGTATTTGAGCTTTTGCAGCAAGCACTTTAAGTCTTCCTTCCTTTCGGTGAGCAAGGCTATATCATGAGCATAACAAAGGTAATTGAGGAGTCTTCCACCAATATTGATGACACATTCTTCTTTATAGTGTCTCCAGCATCTTGAATACGTTTCTCAGTACATAAACTGAATAAGTATAAAGAAAGGATACAGCCCTGATGCACACCTTTGTTAATTTTAAACCATGTTGTGTTCTCTTGTTCTGTTCACACAATAGCCTCTTGGTCTAAGTATAAGTTGGTTTCTCATGAGCACAGTTAAATATTCTCTGACTCCCATTCTTCTCAATGTTAGCTATTATTAATTATGATCCATAGAGTCAAATGCCTTTGAATAGTCAATAAAGTATAAATAGGCATTCTTCTGGTATTCTTTATTTTCAGCCAGGACCCATCTGTCATCAGTAATGATATCTCTGGTGCCATGACCCTTCTAAATCCATCTTGAATGTCTGGTAGTTCACTATGTACTTTTCTAACCATTTTTAAAAATTATACTAGTTTATTTTCAAAATTCAAATATGTTGTTTTTCAGACCAGATTCTTCAAATTTCCCTCAACCTCCCCATCAAACTGTACAACCCCATGATTAATCCACCCCACCCTCTCACATCCTCATCCCTCTGCTTCCACCCCGTCCTCCTTGGATCCTCATATTCATTCTACAATAATGGTTTTATGAAATATTTGTCTTTGTGGGACTGAGTCAGTTCACTCAGGATAATGCTCTCCAGTTTTCCCTAAGCTAGGTAATAATTTACAAAATCATTGTAAATAGTTTTGCAGCCAGCGTGCTGCATAGTATTTCATTGTGTGAATGTACCATAATTTCTCAATTCATTCGAATGTGGTTGGATATTTGGACTGTTTCCATGTTCTTGTGATGGTGAATAATGGTGCTATGAACATTGGTGTACAAGTCTCAGTTTGTGCCTCAGTTCTCAACAGAAATGGCAAAGGAGGTTGAGTTTTCAAGTATGGAAATACAAAGGAAGAGGAACAGTTGTAAGCAGACACTGGTGATTGGGACATGGAATGTGAGAACCATGAATGTAGAAAAATTAG